TACTTATGTAGTTAGGAAAGTTCGCTGCTTTTAGTGCTGACAAAAAACAAAAAAACAGTAGTGGCTTCAGGACGGGCAGCTTTACTTAGTGAATTTCCCACAACAGATGACATGTTATTGTTTCTAAGTTACTAGGAAAAATGGGACAGTCACCATTTGATTTCATTTGTGGCATATTACACTGTTTCCAACCTGGTTGCTCCAGGGAGAATATTGTGGACTTTGCTGCCCTGGGCCTTTGAGCAGATTCTATTTCTGTCTGGACCCTCATGTGCTCAATTGTAAAGAGGGTTCTCATTGTTTCTGACAGCTCAGTAGCTCAACAGAAGTCCAATGTACACTTGTGACTAAGAATAGCCCAAGATTCTTAAGGGTTAGAGAAGATAACATGTGTTGATGAATAAAGCCAAACTCTGTAAAATATTTGAAGAGGTTCATTCTGAGCTACATATGAGTGACTGTGGCCCATGATACAGCCAAGAGGTCCTGAGAACACATGCCCAAGGGGTTGGGTTACAGCATGGTTTAGGGAGACAGAAGTTACAGGCAAGCCATCCAACGTATACATTGTGAGGACAAAACTGATTTTTTTTATCTTGCCCAAATTTCTATCTAAGGGGTCTGAGGAGTCGTGCCCTACAAATCATAAATTCTCACCAAAGGGATTTTATTTAACCCTATATATCATGATTTACTTTCCAACCTGACTTTGGCATAACATTACGAAACAAAGAAGAAAATCAAAATATTTTACTCCAAAACATGTTTCTTTTCTATATTTTGAAATGGCCCTGCAAAGCTGTTCTGTGTGGGGGAAAATTTGTATCTATAAAGAATCTCTATTAACATAGCTACATCTTTTTTTTCCAGACCCTCCCAATCTTAAAGAGATAAATAAAATCTGAATAGGAAATATTTGTCATCTATTATCCCTAAGGGCAGCCACTATAAGACTTCAAAAGAACTTTGGTCCCCATAATCTTTATCTTAGCCTGAACATTCCCTTTCTACAAATCCCAGGTCTTTAGACATACTCAACCAATTTTCAACCAGAAAATGTTTAAATTCACCTATAGCCTGGAAGCTCCCCCTCCGCCCTCACCCTGGCTTTGAGTTGTCCCATCTTTCTGGACCAAACCAATGTATTTCTTAAATGTATTTGATTGATGTCTTATGCCTCTCTAAAATGTATAAAGCCAAGCTGCGCCCAGACCACCTTGGGCACATGTTCTCAGCACCTCCTGTGGGCTGTGTCACAGGCCATGGTCACCCATATTTGGCTCAGAATAAATCTCTTGAAATATTTTACAGAGTTTGGCTCTTTTCGTTGATAATTAGTTTGGCGGGGAAAGGTAGGACATCTCTCTCTAAGCAGGTGCTTACAGGTCATAAGTAAGTGGATTCAAAGGTTTTCTGATTAGCAGTTGGTTGAAAAAGTTAAGCTTTGCCCAAAGAGTTGAAGTCAACTGGAGTTAAGATAAGAGGGGGTTGTAGAAGCCAAGGTTCTTGTTATGTAAATGAAGCCTCACAGTAGCAGGCTTCAGAGAGATTAGATGGTAAACATCTCTTATAGGACCTTAAAAGACGTCAGATCTCTCCTGGATCAGGAAAAGACCTGGAAAGGGACAAGGCTTCTCTACAGAATACACATTTCTCCCACAAGGGATGGCTTTGCAGGGCCATTTCAAAGTATGTCAAATAAATATATTTTGGAGTAAGGCCAGGTACAGTGGCTCATGCCTGTAATCCCAGTACTTTGGGAAGCTGAGGCGGGTGGATCACCTCACCTGAGGCGGGAAGCTGAGGTCAGGAGTTTGAGACCAGCTTGGCCAACATGGCAAAACCTCATCTCTACTAAAAATACAAAAATTAGCCAGGCGTGGTGGTATGCAACTGTAATCCCAGCTACTCAGGAGGCTGAGGCCGAAGAATCACTTGAACCCAGGAGGTGGAGTTTCCAGGTGAGCTGAGATCGTGCCATTGCACTCCAGCCTAGGTGACAAGAGCAAAACTCTGCTCCCCCTCGCCAAAAGAAATATATTTTGGAGTAAAATAGTTTGATTTCTTTCAGGGCCCGCTATCTGTCATGTGATGCTATACCAGGGTCAGGTTGGAGGTAGATATTTTATTGCTACAAAGAGTCTGTTATGTCAGTCTTATGATCTCTATTTGAGTATTAATGCTGGTCAGTTGTGCCTAAACTCCAAAGGGAGAGGGTATAATGAGGCATGCCCATCCTCTTTTCCCCTCATGGGCTGAACTAATTCTTCAGGTTTCTTTGGGATCCCCCTGGCTAGGGTAGGGAGGAACCATCCAGTCAGTTGGGGAGCTTGGAATTTCATTTCTGGTTTGCATGTGGGAAGTCCTTAGCTAGTGCTGTCACACAGTGAGGACTCAGTGTTGGCCGCTACTTCTAGTACTACAACTGTTACCATTATCATACGCTCAGTGCCTGCCTCAGATGTTTAAGTCTGACCATTTTAGAGCAGACAAAGCAGAATAAGGAGCGAATGAAAATAGGAGGTTGTGGCAAATTCAGAAAGCTGCATTTCAGGTCAGCCCTGTGCCCTGTGCTCATATCTTTGCTCCCAAGGCTCTCCACAGATAATCTTTGGCTGTCAACTCAGATTGCTGTTTGCTGTTATCTCAGGTAGCAGACAGTAACTGTCGATAGCCCTAACCTTGGACACTTATAATAAGATAAAGATAAAAGCCTATACCTATTATCCAGTGTGGAAATGAAATCAGTTTCCCTTACTTATCATCTGGTGAAATTTAGCCTAATGGTCACATAAAAAGATTTAGGCATGAGATCTTAGACCATAGGAAAGTGCATTTAATAATTCTTAATAAAATATAAAGAATATCAGGTAGAATGGAAATGATAATGATTCTTTTTTTTTCTTTTTTTTTTTGAGACAGAGTTTCGCGCTTGTTGCCCAAGCTGGAGTACAATGGCACCATCTTGCCTCACTGCAACCTCCACCTCCCGGGTTCAAGCAATTCTCCTGCATCAGCCAAGTAGCTGAGATTACAGGTGTTATAGGCATGCACTAGCACGCCCAGCTAATTTTTTGTATTCTTAGTAGAAATGGGGTTTCACCATGTCAGCCTGGCTGGTCTTGAACTCCTGACCTCAAGTGATCCACCCGCCTCAGCCTCCCAAAGTGTTGGGATTACAGGTGTGAACTACTGTGCCTGGCCTATTCCAATGATTCTTAATGTTCATGATCTCCCTACTTTTAGAAGGAAGAGAAACATGTCAGGATAATAGGAACTAAAGAAGGCAGCACTGTATAAAATGTAGCCACTAGGTCGGGCGTGGTGGTTCACGCCTGTAATCCCAGCATTTTGGGAGGCCAAGGTGGACAGATCATGAGGTCAAGAGATTGAGACCGTCCTGGCCAACATAGTGAAACCCTGTCTCTACTAAAAATACAAAAATTAGCTGGATATGGTGGCGCGCGCCTGTAGTCCCAGCTACTCTGGAGGCTGAGGCAGGCGAATCACTTGAACCTGGGAGGCGGAGGTTGCAGTGAGATCATGCCGCTGCATTCCAGCTCGGTGACAAAGCGAGACTCTCTCTCTAAAAAATTTAAAAATGTAGCCACTAACCCCATGTGGGTATTTACATGTAAATTCATTAAAATTAAATTCATTAAAACTTTATAGCTACAAGTGCCTAGATCTTAGTATACTGGACATTTCTATCGTCAAAGAAAGTTCTATTTGACAGCA